TTAAATACTATTCCTCAGTGATACTATCATTGACCAAAATGTTTCTGAACAGTTTTTTGTGAAACAGACTTGAAAGCATGCTGTGTATCTTATAATACCACCTTTATGGGAGCATAAATAGTCTCAATTTGCTCACCATGCCTAGAATAGTGACTGGCAGGCAGTAAGTAGTAGTTAATATGTATTTGTGGCGTTAAATAAATGAGAATAAAATCTTATGATTTTTAAAAGAAGTAGTCAAAAGTCATTTGGTGGTGGTCACACTTGTAATCCCAGCACTCAGAAGGCAGAATTGGGAGGACTGCTGTGAGCTTGAGGCCAACCTGGGCTACAAAGAGAGTTATACAGAAACACACACACACACACACACACACACACACACACACACACATTCAAAAACAACTTTAAGATTCCATCTCACCCCAGTCAGAATAGCTATCATAAAACAAAACAAAGCAAACAAAAAACAATAAATGAGGAAAAAGGAATGAGGCCAAATGCATTTTTGGTGGGAATGTAACTAGTATGACCAGTACAGAAATCAATATGGAGAGTCCTCAAACAGCTGAAAATAGAAATTTCATTTGATCCAGCTACAATTCTCTTGGGTATATTCCCAAAGGAATTAAAGACATCCTATTAGAGTGATACAAGCATATGCATGTTTATAGCAGCACAATTCACAAAAGCTATATTCTGGAAACAGCCTAGATGCCCATCAATAGATGAATGGGTAAAAAAATGTCAAATATATATACAATGAGATATTATTCAGCCAAAAGAAAAATAAAATCATGTCATTTGTAGGAAAAAGGAGTTTGAGGTCATCGTAATAAACAAAATGAGCTAGAGTTAGTTAAATACTGGGCTGGGAGTTTAGCTCAGCAGCAAGTGGCCTGCTTGGAAAACACGTGGTCCTGTTTGATCCCTAGTATCAGAAAAAAAAGTTCAATATCATGAGTTTTCTCTTATATGAGAAAATGAAAAATAAAAATAAATCAATAAAATGAAGGAGAGATGATAGGAAACTAAAAGGTACTTCTAGAGACAGGAAAGGGAATTAGGAGGAGGGGAGAAAAAAGAAGAGAGGGATAAAGAGATTGAAAATGATCAATATATGTTATATACATGTAAAATTTCCCAAAAGGAGGATCACACTCTGTACTATGTATGTACTCATAAAATTTTTTTAAGAAAAGAAATTCCCACGTAAGTAATTCAGAGCTCAGAGTAGTGAGTAAGATGTGTCACAAACCTGGGGAAAATACTTTTGGATATGAAAGTCCGACGATCTGATGATGATAAAGCAATAAACTAGTTTCATCTATGACTCATAAAACAGCTCAGAGATGAGTTACTTCTCTATGGATTTAGGGGCTCATTTTCTAAGTTTACAAATAGCCTGTGCGATGTGCATCCATCCCATGTCAGGGTGGAGGCCCCTATTCCCTCTCCTGCTGAACACAACTGCCCCCTCCCTGCACCAATGTGTGTTTAAATAGTCACTTCTTCCAAAAAGTTTCCCCTTACTACTTGCTGTAAAATAAAACCATGTTACTCTTGCCCCTGACTTTGATTTCTCTTTTTATTGGACTTACTCATATCTGACATGTTTTATATCTTTATATTTCATCTTTTTATTCCTATTTTGCTAATATCTGTCACTAAATGCTAGCAATGTAATAACTTTACTTCCTTTACTGCTGGAACTCCACACTGCTTTTTTTTCTGTCTTTTTCATTTTTATCGGTACCAGGGATCGAACTCACGACTGCCTGCTTACAAGGAAGGCGCTTATGCCACTGAGCTAAATCCCCAGCCCCCTCCACACTACTTCTGTGTATCCAAATTTTAGAAAGCAAATCATGTGTTTACAGTGAAAGAGGAGAAATGGAAAGAAAGGCAATAAAGATAACAGAGAAATAGCAAAAGGGATGAAGAATCTCTGGATGAGTTATAATGCTAGTTTACTTAGCTTTTAGTGTTAATCTAAATTGAAGGATTTCATGAGAAATCCTCTGAATAGGTAACTGATTCTTCTGGAGACTGATTTTAAAAAGAAATGGCTCTCTAAAAGTAGAGACTCCACTATTTGTAGAAATATTTGAGTGATAGTTACTATTTTAATTACAACGATCATCTCTTTTAATGTCTTACAAGTACAAAGTGAATGAACATTTAAGAATTCTTGACCAAGTCAGAGTACCTGCATGATTTTTAGCAGGGCTAACTTGGGTTGGAGTTACTATAAATATCTTTAAATTTCCACACTTAATTGATATTTGGTATTCTTACTCAATACCTGTAGCACTTTTAATCCCCACACCACCCCAGTACAACAACTGGAACCCAGGGCCTTGTGCATTCTAGAGAAAGTAGGTAGAAATCTAGAAGACACAGTGATAGGCAGAGAGTTCATGAACAAAAACTCCACAGGAAGTACTTCAAAGAATCAACAATTAGAATCTCATCTTATTGATTCTACCACTGATCTATATTCCCAGCCCTTTACCTTTTGAGACAGGATCTTAGATAAGTTTCTCAGGCTAGCTCTAGGCTTACAATCACCCTGGCTCAAATTCATGAGTAGCCAGAATTACGGGCATGCACCATTTTGCCCAGCTCTTCTAGGTTCTAGTTTAATAGAACTTTGGTGCAAATACCAAAGAACCACAGAATGGGTGAAGTATAAGCAACAAAAATTTATTTCTCACAGTTCCAGAGGACAGAAGTCTGATATCAAGTGCCAGTATGGTCAGGCTCTGGTGAGAGCCCTCTTAGGGGCTATAGACTCCTCACCTTTCGCTGTACCCTCTATGGCAGAAACAGGACCAGGGAGAGTTCTCTGGGGTCTCTTTCACAAGAGTTCCACTCCCATCATTTAATCGTTTCCTAATTCCAGCACATGGGGGATCAGGGCTTCAAAATATGGACATTCAAAACATGAACACACGGCCCATAATCTTAGATGCAGGCAGTAAAGGCAGGAAGCAAACTCCTAGCACCACTTGAAATCACATTATTCCTGTGCCATTCACTTATGGTACCAAGTTTCAAAGGGCTATTTCAAGGGATCTCATTCAAGGGACATTTAAATCATATTTCATAATTGTTTTTGTTTCCTCAAATTGCTCATTCCTTATACATAATTTATTAACAAGATTTATACTGGAGAATTCAGGACAAAATGACATTGTTTTAGCAAATCTGGCCAAAAGCCATGTACTCAAGTTAAAATGTATCAAATATCTAAATATTAAAACAAACACTATAGCTACTGGAAGAGAAAGTAGGCAGAAATCTAGAAGACACAGTGGTAAGCAGAGAGTTCTGAACAAAAACTCCACAGGAAGTACTTCAAAGAATCAACAACCAGGATCTCATTTTATTCAAAAGTTTTTGCACTTCAAAAGAAATCATCAACAGAGTGAAAAGAAAACCCCACAGAGTGGGAAAAAAATTTTAGTCAACTTTCCCTTAGACAAAGGACTTCTATCAGAACATATAAAGAATTGAAAATCAGGTCCACCAAATTCAAAGACCCAATCCAAAAATGGGCATCTGAGATGAATACACTTCTCCAATGAAGAAACACAAATGGCAAATAAATATATGAAAAACAATACTGGTCATCTGAGAAATGCAAATTAAAACAACACTAAGATTTCATCTCACTCCAGGAAGGATGGCCATCACCAACAAATCAACCAATAACAAATGTTGGAGGGGAGAAAGGAACCCTTCTCCACCATTGATGGGAATAGACTGATACAACCACTGTGGAAATCAGTGTGGATATTCCTCAAAACACTAGGATTAGAAGTCCCATTCATCGCAGTTATTTCTCTTCCGGGTATTTTCTCAGAATGAAAAATACCATACCATAGAAATATATGTGCACCCACGTTTACAGCAACACAATTAGTAATAGCTAAGTCTTAGAAATGACCCAAATGCCCAACAATTTAGGAATGGGTAAAAAGGATGTGATATTTTTATATAATAGAGTACTACTCAGCCATGAAAAAGGATAAACTCAAAGCTTTTATAGGTAAATGGATGCAATTAGAAATCATACTCATAAATGAAATACTCACAAGTGTAAGCATTATCTTATCTCCCTAGTGTAAAACTAAAAGAGTAAATAAAATATAAAATCTGCCTTAGATATTAAGAAAGGGGAAGAAACTGCTCACAAGGAAAGAACAATGGGATGGAGAAATAAAGGGAAAAGAAAATAAATATATACATACAAGATAGTTAACATAGTTACACTACTAACTTCCCTTAATTCAATGAAAAGATCGGCTGCTGCTTATACTGGTTGATATTTTGCATGCCTATATTTTGTAGTCTAAGCAACTATTTTGAAGACAATGGTATGCAATATATTAACCATTTTTAATCTATTTTTTTGCTTTGAAATTCTCTATCGTTAATATATTATCCTGTTTTGAAACTCTGTATTATTGTTTTTATTTGTGCTTACTTTTCTCTCTTTAAAATAAAAATTAAAAAACTAGTAAAACATCATTCTATTTTCCTGTTGGGTTCTATTATGACCTTATAAATAAACACATATTTTTAAAAGTTCAGTGATTCAGATCTAGTTTTAGGCAAAGAAAAAGGTACAAAGTATTGTCCTGGAAGAATTTTTGGCCTTTTGAGGAACATTTAAGAAAATTTCAATTTTCTGATTTTTAGGATCAAATAGTGCCCATGTACACATGACCAGACCCCTGTACACAGCAAACTATATTCTTTCACATACCAATTATAAGTAAAATATTAATTCCATCCTGAAAATAGTCATAAAATTTTCTACTATTATTCTTTGTTCTCTATGGTATGAAGTTTAATATTATACTAGTAGTACTAATATGGTATTAATAATTTGGTACTAAAATCTAATATGTTATATTTTACACATACTCCTAAATGTGTTAAGGGTTCTTAAATGATACTTATAGTTGTTTTAGGCCAGAGTAGATTCTACACACCTTTATTACGTAGCCTGGCAATCTTAAGAAGCTTACGCTTCTTCTCTGAAGCAGGACTTTCTGGTGTGGGGGCAGAAGCACACGCTGTTGGTGAGTTACCTGTACCAGGTATTCTTTTGGGAAGTGCCATGGAATAGGAGGTACGCCGTCTAGTCCGACATGCCACTTCCCTCTCTTTATGCAGCAACTGTTCATCCATCAGCAATGTTATAACTTGCTTAGACTTTTCCCGGATATGATAACCTGAAAAAATATGAATTTTTGTAGAAAAAGAAATACTGATTAAGTTTTCATTCTTTAAAAATTAAGATAAAAACATGATCAAAGTGAAAAACTTATAGCAAATAAACTGGAAATATATTCCTCTTCATACATTTTAAGAATCAGTATGTGACCAGAAAGAAGAAGCCACAAAGACAAAAAGGCAGGGAAGGCCAAGCAGCAGGAGAACTGCCACATTCATGTGTCCAGGGAAGCCCTGCACTGACAGTGAGCCTTCCCACACGCCTGGAACACAGACCTGGGCCTCTGCCTCAGCCAGGCCTTGCTTTCACACACTCACAGCATCTCACACTCGTCTTCTGGAGCACTTCCATTCTATAACTGCTGACTGGAGAAAAAACAAAACAAAACAAAGCAAAAACCCCAGCTTTTTGTACTTTAGACTATAACTTCCATGAATGACAAAACTACATCTGTTTAAAAGACATTCACAAAAAGTTTTTAAAATAAATGACTGTACTGAGGAAGTATTTCCCAAATGCCAGGGAGGAAACTTTGTAAATTTACAATGGAACATCACAAAAAGAGATTTGGAAATACAGCAAATTCAATAATCCTGGCCACTGAGATACATCACTAAGAAAGACATATACAGTAAGATCTTTAGAAAAACATATTAGCCTTCAAATAATAATTATAAAACATCTTAGTATTTCTGTTTCTAATTCCTGACCCACTGGTTTCCCAAAATCTAGTCCTTCTATATTCTTTTCTCAGTGAATGTTATCTCCATTCTACATTAGAAATATAAAAATACACTGTCTCTTGATTCGGCATTAGATCATTAAGAATAATGATTATGGCCACTGAATATCTTCTAAAGCCATTCTTTCCTCTACCTCTTTAATGATCCTGATGACCTTTATTGCCTGTGGATGCTAAGTTATTTGTCTTTTATCTCCCTTCAAATCTACCCTCCATAGTACCTTCAGGGGCACAATAGGTGAAGGTACAAAGGAGGGGCAAAATATCTAAAACATCTGATCAAAGGCCAGGGATTTAGCTCAGTGGCATAAGTGTCTGCTTGATAAGTGCAAGGTTGCAAGTTTGATCTCTGGTACAAAAAAAAAAAAAAAAGACAATAAAATAAAGTATCTGATCAAGTTTAAAAACCTTAAGTAAAAATGACACGGTAAATCCATGCTTCAAACTACCACTCTGCTCCATTTCAAATACACAGCAGTAATAGACAGTGGTAGTCTCAAAAACAAAATGAAACCTCCATGAAGCAGAAACAAAAAATGAAAAACAAGAAAGCACTAAGCAGGACTGAAGCCTCGGGGCTCCGGTGGCCTTGATCTAGCAACCAAAAGTTTAGCTCTTCAGATGTTAGGGAACCAGGCCTGGTTTCACTCTTTGATGTTAGGGCGCTCTGAAAGAAAGCTGAGGGGAAAAAAGGGAGGAAAGAAGCAGCTAACTGCTTCCTGGATTGTAATTTATTTGTAGTTGTGAGTCTAGAAACAGAAGAACACTCATATGAGTTTAAGGCCTGGAGCTAAACTAAGTCACCTATTTGCTCAGTCCTTAGGTATGTGACATTGTGACACGTCAGTTTTACTACAGGCATGAGCCCTGCACCATTTTTATAAGACCTGTACTGGAGGCTTAAAGATGGGCTGGGTAGAAGAAACTGAAAATCTAACCTAAAGGAAAAAGTGAACATGGGTAGCTGAAGGAAGAACACTCAAAATAAGCCTGAAACTACAATTCCAAAATACAGTTTTAAAAAAAGACAGCCAATACAATCAACATCACAACATAAATTAACTGCAAATTAATGTTTTTATAAGATCTTCTACATTATCAATATCCTATCAGATTTTTAAAATCATCTGAAAAGATTTTTAATTAAATGATTAAGAGAAGTTATACTCAAATATTTAGTATACGAAGTTATACTCAAATATTTCAAGGAAAGAGACACTATGGTAACTACTATCAAGTCGGGTTATCTTGTGGTGAAGCACTACGTTGCTGAAATTGTTATGCTTTGACCTGTATTGTTATGTTGTTGTGTCCTCTTTTATCTCAATCTCCCCCTTTTAAAAAAAATATTTATTTATTTTTATTATTATTTTTTAAATTAAGGGAAAAAATCAGCAGGATATATTATAGTAACATTTTGATTTCCTATTAACTTGATTTGAAGCCCTGTATTGCTCCCACCATCTTGTCTTGACTGATTTTACTCTGCTCTGCTCTGTTTGATAGTATCAAGTTTGAGGGTATAAGCAACTACTTTGAAGGCAATAAAATTCCCTATGATGCCCATTCTGGTTTGAGTATTATCTTCTTTTGAAGTCCTCCAATGTTTAGGTTTTATTGGTCTTGTTCTGTACTGTTTTGTTCAATTGTATTATACCTAATGATATAGGCACTTCTTTTTAAGGTAGCAAGAGGTACTATGGTAACCATTGTTGATAACCTTGTACTCTGTTTTTACATCATGTACTATGTCCATCCTTTGTTTTCACTGACTGCTTTGTTTTGTCACATTTGGTTTTATTATCTTCCAAAAACAAAGTAGTAAGAACTATGGGAGTAATAAAACCCAAAATGTGTAAATGTTGTTGTAAAAAAGACAAGAAAAAAAAAAAAGTGCTGTAAAGGATGTACTGCAAGTGTGTTTAGGTGTGTTAAGACAGATGACCATATTACTAAGTTTTTGTTGGATTACTGAACACAACTGTTTGCAGTCTCACTGTCTGAATGTCCACTTTGTATGCTTTAATCCTGTAACTTGAACAACTATTTCTAAGATGACAATATGTAATCTATTAACTAGTGATTTCTTACTGGTTTTTTTTTTAAATTCTGTATTACTTGTACCCTTATACTGTTGTTTTTTCCTTTAAATAAAAAAATGATTAAGAGAAATAAATGAGACTCATACCTACAATAAGAAACATGAAATTATGAAAAAAGCAAAGATGTGCAGAAAAGAAATAAGAATAGCTTGATGTTAAAGGATCCGATTAGAAATCCTACATATGGAAACTATGGTTATTGGTATTAAAAAACAAAAATGTATTTTCTATATACAGAAAAACTCCATACTCCAACAGCTGAAGACAGAATTGGTAGCTGCAGAACAGTACTAAGGACTTCTTCCAAAATACAGCACAAAGAGGTAGTAAGATTAAAAAGATTATGTAAAAGTTATAAAAGAGGGCTGGGAATTTAGCTCAGCAACACAAGTGCCTGCCTGGCATATGTAAGGTTATGAATTCGACGCCTGGTACAAAAAGAAAATTGTCATGAAAGACTGGCTACAGACCTTTTAGATTAAGCTTTTTAATCTAGAAGTTTCAAAAGAATTTAAGGTAATGGCCAAGAAAGCAATATTCAGAGAGATAATTACTGAGAATTTTACAGGAAATATCTGAATCTTTCCATCAAAAATGACTGTCGATTGGCCGGGAGAACATGGCGGACAGATAACAGATACTACGGAGGCTCTCTGAAAGGCTTGGTTCAGAAGTCAAGAAGGGTGTGGAGTAAGGAGACATAAGCAGGTGGAGATATGCTCTGCTGACTCAGGAACGAACTGGGCTGAGAGAAACCAACTTGGAATGCAGTCCTGGTGCTAAAGCAGGAACAGAAAAGCCTCAGTGTGGAGGCTGGAGCCCGCGCCATTGGAAGCCGCGATTTGGGTTTCCCGCCGCCCGGAGACTGCCTCTACAGCGGCTTGGCAAGGAGAGAGACGCATGGAAGCTTTGAGAACGGGAAGCTGCGAACGGAGTCGAAAACAAGACAGGCAGGGAGGCGTGCGCTGACTTGTGGTGAGGTGAGTGAGAGAAACTGACACTCTACCACAGTTTGACTCCAGCGGAGGACTTTCTGGGCCCGGGCAGTCCTGCAGGAGCAGGGCGCAGTGGCGACTCCAGCCACACATCCCCCTCTCGGGCGGGATTGGTGAAAAGTGCCTGGCCTGCGTGACGCTGCTGGCGGACTCGGCAGGCTGGCCCAACCCAGATCCCAGAGCCTGACGGTGGCCAGGAGGGGCGGGCCCCGCGTAGGCTGCCTGGTCCCTAACTCCCTGGTGCGCTGCGGTGGGCGGGAACACCTAACCAGCGCAATTCGATCAAGCTGTGGCTGACAGGGAGAGAAGCTGGGTCTCCTATATAAGCTTGCATATATAAGGAACAGAGAATATGGGAAGAGGCAGCAACAAGAAAGGCTCCTCGGCCCCCAATTCTGAGAAACAGGCAATAGCAGACACCGCACCAATAGACATAAAGCGCCATATAGAGAGCCTCATAGATCAATTCAGGAATGAAGTTATCAATGACCTGAAGCTAGAAGTATGCAGAATATTTAGAGAAATGCTAAGTACCACCCAAGAAAAAACAGGCGGTGGAATGGAAGAACAGAAAAAGAGGGGAGAATTGTTTGATGGAGAAAACAGAGAAAGCATAGAATACGTGAAGCAGATTCAAAGGGACTACCAAGATACTAAGAAGTCTATCGAAGACTGGCATAACAGCTTGAAAGAAACTAAGGACAGACTATCTGAACTGGAGGGCAGACTTGTAATATGGGAGAATGAAATGAAAAACTTCTTAAAAATAACAAAGAAACAAACAGCAATAATACAAAGACAAGAAGATGATAAGAGGATCCATAACTTAAGGATTAAGAACATAAAAGAAGAAGTAGGGACACAAACAAATGAACTACAAAAGCTACTCACAGAAATAATCCAGGAGAATTTTCCTAATTTAGCAAAAGGTAAAGATACTCAGATGTATGAGGCATACAGGACCCCAGCTACCTACAACCCAAACAGAGCAACACCCAGGCATATAATAATAAAAATTCCAGAAATTCAATACAAGAACAGAATATTAAAAGCTGTCAGAGACAAGAAACAGACCACTTACAAGGGAACACCCATCAGAATTACAGCAGATTTCTCGGCACAAACCATCAAATCACGAAGAGCATGGGGGGAAATAATT